TGATTTTTATGATCAGACCCTGAAAATGTTTGTCTTTTATTGTGTTTGATATTCCTGCAGTGTTCCATACTAAATACTTATCATCTAAGTCGGCAGACATTCCACACACTGACATTGCGAGATGTGTATAGATCTATATATCTGATATTCCAACGAGAAAAATATATGTTAGTAATACACTGTACCATTACTAAATAATCAAAGCATGAACAAAATACCACATATTTCTAGTTGTCTTTCTTAACGTATGAATTTGTAAATATTCATGACCATGAATTTGTAAATATGCATACCCATCACACAACGTAATCTCAGTGCATTCATATTTTAACTAATGTTATGGACTTTATCTTTTACTCTTCATATAATATCAAAAAAATATAAGTTCATACCCTTTTTATTGATCATTCAGATCACAAATGCCATACCATGAAAGGAATAAATCTCAGAGGGCATCTAACATGTCGAACTCTGAAGCATCTCTACACACAGAAACTACGAGGAGCCGTTCACGTAAAAAATACGCTTCTACATGTATAAGCCCTGAAGAGTCATTCTCTGTAAGCATCAAAATGGACTGGAAATTGAAAATCACAGATTTTGCTGAAACTTGGTGAAATAATTACATTATAAGCCCTATTTACAAAAATATTATCAAAAGTGATCAATTGGTCTTGTTTCCATGGCAACCAGGTTACCTGTTTTTTGCACATAGGTGGTTAATACCTAAAATGATATTTCTTCCCATTAATATACATTTAATTAAATAAAGGTGATTATTATTTTTTTTTCCTTTGAAATAATTTGTAATTTGTTATTTTTATACAAAAAACTTGAAAATTTTTTTTTGGAACTGCTGTTAAATGCCAAATAACATTAAAAAATTGCCTTAAAAAGGGGGGATGGAACATAGCAATGTACACAAAAAACGCAGGCACTGGTAGAATATTCTTATGCTCTGAATTTCACTTTATACAATTATGAAGAACATATAAAAAAAAAACTGGAGAGGTAATGTTTACTTTAAGAAAATAAATTGATTGTAAAGTTTGTAAAAATCTCTAAATTTACACACATTTTTGTCAAGAGATATTTCCCTTTTCGGAAATCTTTTGCTTTAATCGATGAAAATTTAAAGTAAAAGTACACAGCAGAAAGAGACTTTGAGGGGTATATACTGTGTGCTTTGGGTATTTTCAGGGGTTTTAATCCAACGTGTGAAGTATTTAAAATTACCCATAGTTAATTGATTGTTCAGGCTTTACTGTGAGAAATATATATGTTTATGTATAGATATGATAAACTTAAAAATGGATTGCATCCTATGAAATTCCTGCCTATGTGACAACAAGAGCTGCATCATTGAAAAAAGTGTTTAAAAACAAAGTAAGTATCAAATGGACTTCAGTGCTAAGGGTGAGATAATAAGGTTGTGATGAAGAAATATACATGGCAGTAAGAAGCACTAGGCAAGTACCAATGAAATATTTATCACATACATTGAAAGTTGCACATATTTTGTATGAGTTTATTTATAAAAGGGCATGACTATTTATTATAAAAATAACTTTAAAACACCCAAAGCATAAATAATGACATGATTCTAATTATATCACTAATTCATAGTATAGGTATATTATCAATCTGATTAAAATCAGATGTTGATGAAAATTATATAAACCATGTGTCAGTCAATCCTTATAAAAATGTTTGTTTGGAGTTGCTGCCTAATGGGTTTCAGACACAGGAGGGAGGGAAATATATTTTTTTATTTGAAGGTAAATTTTAAATTTTTGATAATAATTTCAGTAAACAGTCACTACATTTTCTGACTTTTAATAAAAGTATCTACAATCAACTAAAAAAAAAACAAATTTTACATAGATCTGACACAATATTTCAGTGTTTTGTATGGACATTGGTGTATGTGATACATGTAATGCCCCCCCCCCCAAAAAAAAAGGTTAAATAAAAAAATATCTTCCTACTTTTGGTCAATACAATTTTTTCAGGAGGGGGCATTTCAATGAGGCAGTAATGTGTTGTAAATATTGGGTCAATAAGTGTTCGAGAGGAATGCGTGATTCTCGTTGGCTCGCTGATTCTGTTGATCAGACTACAATTGGATATTATATCATATATAATATGTGTGTGAGGTGTGCTTAAGAGATCAACATTTATATAACCAACAATTATTATTTTGTCGGAAAGCTCACATTTTATCTAAAGACCATGAAAAATTTCTCCAAAAAGTGGAATCTGGGTGCGGAGGACGATATACGCAACATAAGAAGAGTTGAGAGGTAGGGTTATCAATTTCTAACAAGACAGCTTCAATATTGACAGGTTCGAGATCTATTCATCTGTGAGCTCGAATGTTGTTACTAGTGTAAAAAATGACTCCGCCTCCGAAAGAATGTCGATCTTTGCCAAAATCTTCTAAAGAAATATCACTATTCAAAGTTTTGTCATCGAGATGCGTTGCAGTAAAGCACACAATATCAAAATCATTTACTACGGCTTCAAGTGGATCAATTTTGTTCCTGAGACTTCGGATATTTAAGTGTAAAATGTCAGGGATACTTTAATCAAGAGAGCCTGAGTTTGTTTCTATATCACCGGATATTAATAACAAAATAAAAGCAAAAAATGCATTAAAAAAGTTACGAGTACTGACAAAATTTTACCAACATAAAAACTTTTCAAAACACATTTTTGAGTCCCTTGTTGGAAAAAGATTAAAATATCACTCAGTATAAGAAAAACAAACATTGAGAAGCAAGTTACACACCTACACTGAAAGTAATTTTTTTAATTGCGGCTCGATATTGCTCTATACTATTACCAATTGTCTGTAATGTTAGATCTAAAGACATTAAATTTGCCGCAAAATGGAAAAGTATGTATGAAATATACAGAGTATGCGTAAAGTCTACGAGTTGAGTTTGAGTGTTTGTGATAAATATGTTGACAGTTGTAGATATATAAACATGTGGATATGTCAAAAGCAAAACACAGAAAACAAATATATTTTTTTTTTACATACAAACAGAAAAAAATAGTAACAAAAGCATAAGAAAGTTTACTATAAAAATCTGAATGGGAAGGGACTCATTTGCATGTGTATTCCCAAACAATACATGACAATAGATCATGATATAAGACAACATAATCACATACAACATAGAAAAGATATATAAATATGTACAAAGGTCCGTAATAAGTGAATTACAAACTTAATAGTAAGTAAGTAAGTTATTAACTATAATAGTAATTTATTGAGGCTTAATCAATTGGCACTGATTGTTGAATCTGTGAACTGACTGCGTATGTCTATAAGCGCATTTGTCTATAATGAATTTTATATTGAATTGTTATATTTTATGAAACAACAAGTTGAAACATGAAAGGGATTGGCTAGGAACTACTAGGAATTGGCTGTATCGGTGGCGTTGTCCACGTGTTTGTCTGTGTTGTTTTTCACCACGTCCGAGAACGAGTTGCGGTAGGTTCGATCACTGACGGTTGCTTCATTTGTTTCGTCGTTATCTGTTTCGGAGTCACTGAACGCTTGTTCGTAAAAGTTAGGTGTGTCAAGGTCATCATGTGACCTAATAATCACTCGTTTGTCATTGTGTGTTTTCATGAAAATCTTGCCATCTGTTGTCCAGCATCCCTTTATTTTATGTTTTTTAGCGCTTGTCTAACCTTTTCCATATAGGATTGCACGCCGCTGAGTAAGGGCTTCATTGATGTAGATTTTGTACCCATTTTCTTTATTCTCGTTGAACCCCTTGATGTTGGATCTGTTTTAGTAGATTAAAGCCTTATCATCATACCGTACAAACCGTACAATAATATCTTGCGGTCTATCATGGCGTGGTGGGCCAAGTCGGTGGAAGGTGTTAATAGCGGATTTGTCTAGTTTTTCGACACCTTCTGGCAGTATTAGTTTATTTTTTATGTTTAGAACAATCTCATTTGTGTTCTCATTTGCCCTCTCCGGAATTCCAGAAAATCTTAAACATGTTTTCTGGAATATTGCTCCAAATCATCAAGACGAGATTCTAGATCTGAAGTTTTTATCTTAAGTTCAATTACTTCAGATGATAATTTTTCGAGAATACAGTTTTTTATTTCGGGTTTTTCCAGTATAATGCTTGTGGCATGTTTAAGAAGCTCTTTGTTACCAGATATGTTGTCTAGCAGGTTGCTGAGATCAACCTGATCTTGTGAGAGGTCAGAATCTGAGTTTGAGCTAGGTCTGAATTTTTTTGATGACTTAAGTTTATGTGATGACTGTTGAGTTGAGAAAGGGAGAGAATCAAAAGGACTCGGGTGAGTATTTCGAAAATTAGATGATTTGTCACCTCTATTTCCTCTTTTGCCCCTGTTTGAATTTCAGTTTATGGGATAGCCTCTTCCACCCATCATTAATTTTCACAAGATTCACACAGATTTGACATAGAATCACACAATGCAGTCGCAAATAGATTTTGCTTTGCTAACATAAAACAGGTGAATTCGTATTTGGTTTGTATACGTAGGCGATGTTGCCGATTATACTTGTTTATACTTGTAATGAACTGTACTCATCGGTGACCGTTGACCATCTCAAAAAATGAATATGAATGCTTTAAAATACAAATTTAAACATCGGTCGCTTGACTGTTCTGACTAAATACAGTTACATGATACATTTGTTACCTCTGACACTGATTCATTATGTGATCCATGAATTTCCACATATAAAAATTCACATACTTTACGGACAAACAAAACAGGCACCTACTCCATGTTGTCACGTGACCCTAAGCTTTCCAAATACTGAGTAGTTTTAAATAAAAAAAAGTTATTTAACTTGAAAAAAATATTAATACAAATAAATCAAGCCCCCCTTTTTTAACATGTTGGAGGAGGATCTGGTATCATTTTATTGCCTGCCCCCCTCACTTTAACCCCTTCCCGAAAACTATTTCAGATAATTATATTTTTGTCACTTTGAGTCAAAATGAGGTTGATTGAATTTCAAAAGCTTATAGAGAGTTCAGTAGTGGTTGTGTTTCAGTAGTGGTTATTACCTATGTTTGTTATTTAAATGCTCTCTCACCCACTATTGAAATATTTATTTCAATAGTGGTTGTATTCAATAGTGGTTACTAACTATGCTTGCTATTGAAATGCACTCTCAACCACTATTTATAAAATTATTTCAATAGTGGTCGTGATTTCAATAGTGGTTGTAACAACGCACAATACACTAGGATACATGAAAGGTAGAACATTGTAAAGAATAACGTCATGGGTACTGTACTGCTACTTAAACACAACATCGATTTTTCGACTCCCTTGCTGATAAAATCTTCAAGATGTTATGTATTGAGCCCTGTCGTAACCCTAACCTCCCATTCCTGGAAAGTTGAGAATTTCTCAAATATGCTAGAAGAAATTGAGCAACCAAATGGGAGATACTTATCTACAATGTCTACAAAGAGGTTACCATGGAAATAAAACCCCAATAAATGGGAGTCTTCCTTCCTCAACTTATGCAGACGGAATGCGCTTTTGATTTCCATTATTCCTAGCGGGGCGCAATTCCAAACCCTGCTAATGCTTTCAACTACCAGATCAAATGATGTTTAGTGCACTGAATTGATTTTGTGGTCAATGTACGAGTTGGTACTTTCATCAGGCTGATATGAGAGAGGTGTAATGATCCTCCAATCCCCCGTCTGTCATTGGGACAATACTTATTGGGTAAATGACTATGTCTTTTATGGGTAGTTGGGCTGATGGACCCAGATTTCTGCCTTTATTGACTTCTTTTTGAATTTTGATGTTTAGCTCTGCTTTGTGTGTTTAAGCTGATAGAAGCAAATGATCCAGTGCGTGTTCCCATGTAAAACAAAGAAAGGTCTTGATTCAATCTCTTTATTATTTCTGCATAATGATATTAAACCCTACTTTAATTGATGTGTTGTCAAATGCATTGGGTGTCAAAAGATCGTTATTATCATGATGACTATTAATTTCCAACACAAGTATGTGTACCTGCAGGATCTTGATCAGGCTGTTCTGTGGTCCCTTTTGCTTGGGGCACTAAAGCCTGTGATGGAATGTCACGACATAGGTGTATGGCTGTGTGTGGTAAATGTACCAGTTGTTTGGGGGTGGTGCCGATGTTGTGGCTGGGACTGCCGCTGGTCTGATATACGAACTATTCGACTTTGATGTTTTGTGTTTTGCCTACAATAATATCTACACCTGTAATTTTTTTTTGGATTAAGGTATTTTATATTCAAGAATGACCAAAGGCGATTCAGCATGTGCTACTTTCCTCGGGCTTTTTGAATGGAAATGATTGAACTTAGGCATTATATTTTAGCCATCCATTAAGAATCATCGCAAATCCCGAGAGAGAAAGTGACACCTTACCCTTTTCAACAAACAAATTTGGAACGATACCGCCTTTCTTACGATATTTTAATTTCTTGTTATTTTTCTACGTCTCAGGCTTGCTTCATCGTGATGTAAAAGGCCGTTAAATCCTCGAAAAAACTAAGACTTACAATTTCGCAAAAGAAGGTTAAATAAAAACTGCGTTTGCAATTAATGCGCATATCCGGCAGACTGCTCTGGGATATGCAGAATTATTCTTGATGATTTGAGAAATATTAAAACATAAAAACTTTTGAATTACAAAGGAATCCATATAGAAGATGTTTTCAGACAAATGTATTGACGTCATCAAAACCTCATAAATCTTTTTCCCTCTCACCTGTCTCACCTGAGAGATCTGTCTCACCTGAATCACCTGAAACATTTGTCTCACTCGTTTCACCTGAAACACCTGTCTCACTAGTCTCATTAGTCTCACCTGAGATACATGTCCTTCCCGTCTCATTTAGAAGACATCCTACGAAAGAGTTACAATCTTCACCCAGGGAACAATTACAAAGAAACTCACATTTTTCACCGTAATAGTCAGTTGGACATGGAGATTCACAATCAGGACCATAAAAACCAACACACGCTGCATCCGAAAAAATACATTTTTTAAATGCATTTTCTAATTTGTAGAATTACTTTAAAGTGAATCAATGAATTTCAATACATTTATTACCAGGCACGGCCAGCATATATAATTGCATAAATCAAACATATTTTTCAATATAATTTTTTATAAATAGTCATATAAAATGATCAAAATTACATTTTATTCAGTGATACAACAAAAAGTCAAATATCTTTAATACAATAACATTGATACAGGTCCTCTGAAACAAGATCCTCTGTGTTCTTGCTTTTGTTTTTCTCTTTTTCAAATTACGTCAAGCTAGACACATAGCAGTGTACGAGGGCTGTTCAATAAATATTGTCCTACGTGCTCGCAAAAAAAAAAAAACAAAAGACGCTTTTCAATAATTTAGTCTATATTGTTTATCTTAAATATTCTCATTGAATTAAACACATGTCCGTTATATTTCTATCCGAATTCTGATTGTTTTTAAAACGCATTTTTGAGTATACTGGATTATGACAGAGCTCATGATTTCATTGACTTGTTTCTTCTTTCTGAAAGGTGTTTTTTTAAGTTTGGAAAATGAACAAAGTCAAAGGGTGACAGATCTGGCGAATATTATTGTGTGACAAAATATTACTTGTCTGTTTATCCCCCAAACTCCTTTGATATTCATGGCGGGTGGATGTGGACGTTGTCATGAAGAGATTAAATGTAATGGATTTCCGATTCTAGTTCCCGTAGCTCAAAAACCTTTCCAAAAATGCTTTCCAGACTCCTCCAGAAATTGAAGTGCCTTCCCGAATAAGAATTTGAAGAAGACCACTATTGTTTAAAAAAATGGCATATGAAACTGTCTTTGTCCTCTTGTAATTCTTTGCTTTTCTTTTTTTTACCTTTTGTTGTTTTTGTCAAGTGCATATTATAGTAAAATGGTTTGAGGGTAATAATGCAACTGATTCAAGTTTCATTATCTGTTTGAATTTTAGACAAACGTGGGTAACTACAATATCTTATTTTTAAAACATAATTGATTAGATATTCTTACACGATATCGTTTTCAATCACTTTTCAAAACAGGGTCACCATTGAGTACTTAGCTTTTTTACTGTTAAATGTTATATTAGAAATAGAGTGAACTACCCCAAAATTGATGCCTTTTAAATTTGCTATGTGTTTTAAGGTCAATCAAACATCATAAGGATAATTTATTGAATTTTGTCAAATAGAACATTGGTTTTTTAGTCATTGTCGCCAAGGAAGGTATGCATTTTGATTCCTGCTAAATCATTATTTTCATCAAAATATACCTGCTCATGTGTTTTAAAAACAGGTAATGATTGCTGTAAATTTCACAAATTTCAGTGAATTTTTTTCTTTGGGATTCTTACTAAGTTTTACAGCAGCTTAAATGAAGTCTTTAATTTTCTCTAGTTTACTGATTCTTTACCATTAATTTTTATTGCATTGTGTGATGTTAAGGGGCCTTAAACGCACAGAAGACCCCAAAAATGAAATGACCAGACTACCCTTGAAATAGACTAGTCAAATGGTATATAAAGCGAAGCTTCGGGGGAAATCAGGCATTCAGATGTTAGCAGTAGAAGCCAACAGCAGAAGCAAAAGCAGGGAGAAGAGAATATAGTAATAGGGCTAAGAATAGAATAGAATCATCAGTGGCAAGTTATTCTAGGAAATTGATGTTAAGTTCATGGTGTAGTAAATCTGAAAAAGATTGAGACACTCAGTTCTTATCAATCAATAAGAACGTAGGGGAGAAACACGGTGCAAGTAGTCCCCGTCTCTAGATAAGGAAAATTTTCAATACAGTGTGATAGAGCAGTATATAAATATTGCATGTAGTTGAGTGTAACATTGAAAATTTTCACCCCAAGAAACCATTGTCAACCGAGGCACTGAATGTTTTATACAAATACATATAATAATGAACCGTGCACGCATAAATTCTGCGCAGTCGCTATATTTTGGAATATCACCCGTCGTCAAGCAATGTTGACTGTGCTACGCTGGAGGGCGTGGCTTCATAATTCAGCGGGTAATAGTGTTAATTATCAAATGTTTTTCGACCAATCAGATTCAACTAATTTACATGAAAGTATAATATTACTAAATATAATTCAAATCAATAACTCCGACAGAGTAAGAGGAAAAGCTATATACTGTACATATATCCCTTGTAAGAACCCAGTCATACATGTTACAACGTGTTACGAATATTCCTTGTTTTCCAACTTCTCACAATGAAATTGTGAAATGAAAAGTGGTCACATAAACTGATAATCAATTTATTAAAGAATCAATCATGAGAAAAAGTCAAGCTTAATTTCATATGATATATGTGTTGTGTATCATACAATTCAGGATATTATTTATTGAACAGCTCTCGCATATATGTTATAATATTTCCATATCTAATTTTTTTCTCTGTGATAACTCTTTGAAAGTTAGGGGAGTTTATTTCTTGATAACTCTGCCGGAATGTAAATTAGGCAGGTCGATAGGTCAGGAGCTAAGGAGGTCTGATATGCATGCAGATCTCGTGCGCATCTGTCTCTGTGTCTGACGCTAAGGATTCCAAATATGCATGTAAATCTCGTGCGGCTGCCTTTGTGATTGACGTCAGTGGGCGAGGACTATTGAAATTGGCATGGGAGTCCTCGTGTAATTAAAATCGATTAGTCTACATTTTTGAAATCTAAATCTAAAATTCTATTTCACAATGAAATGGAAATATAAGGAATCACTGTCTAGTTAGTATAGTATGCCAGGGACATCAACGATAGTGGGAAACATGGGATAATTTTAGCATAACGGGCTTCGCCCGTTATGCAAATTATCCCATGTTTCCCACTATCGTTGATGCCCTGGCATACTATACAAACTAAACAGTGATTCCTTAAATGACGGCATTTTACAGAGAGTATATACACATCCTCCCAAATAACGGATCAAAGCTTTACCCAGATGTACAGTGTACAAATGGATAATTCAATCTCAAATAAAGCAACCCTATCTTAGGAGTTAGGTTTGGGCTACACCTGGGAAACAGATTTTATATTTTACACATCAACATAACCAGAACAGCAAAGGCATGTTACATGTAGTCAAATGGTGATATATACAAATCTTTATATTTCGATATACATCGACTAAAAAGTAATTTATCCTTACCTGTACATACACCATCGACTTTTCGATAACCAGGACAACATTTTGTTATGCTGAAAATAAATGGGGACGTATTTACTTTGATAGTTCAGTGAAAAAAGAAATGTTTATATTAAGATACAGGTATGCCATTCGAGAAATAAGTTATATCAAGGCTATTTAAGACTCTGATTTAAGTAAGTACTATATGTAAGATGAAACATATGGAGATAACGAACAGTATTCAAGATCAAAAGTCCACAAAACGATACAAAATAGGAGCAGATCAAACACGGGTTTCCAAAACATGACAGACAGGATCAGGTGCCATGTAGGAGTGAGTATACCCCATCTGATCGGCTACACCCGCCATGAATTCGGTCAAAATGAGAATCAGAATGAGTCAAAATCGCAAAGACAATGTTCATCTTATTGGGCAACAGTATAATTAACTGGGACTTTTATCAGTTAAATTGTAATTTTTATGGTAATCATTTTAACTAATATTATTTTAACAGATGCAAAAATGACAATAGATATTATTATCTTACGTAAAATAATTTGTATGTTTATCTTTGGACAAACCATGCAAATTTAAACCAATGAGTATATATTCCTGAACTGAAAAAAGTCATATTCGGGGTACTTACTTAAAATCTAAATAAGAAATAAGATATTTTCCTGTATCAAGTTTAATATGACTTACGTAATGTTCTGTGGAAATTATATTGTTGTTTAAAATAAATGAAATAAATAGACCAGTGTTGTATTGTATATTGTATTGTAAATTTTATTTTTAGTCGGACATAACAAAAAACATGAGTTATAAAGCTCTTTTACCGACTCTTGAAACTTTGCACGACTTAAAAAGTGTGAATTTTATATTTTGATTTCCTCAATGTAAATTCTTTTTTTTTGGCAACGTCTGATTATTGACGGAATATGTCAAATTTAATCTAAATTGAAATATTTATTTCATATTCCTGGCATTAGATAATATAAAAATGGTATTGATTACAAAACATAGGACTAAAATTCAAGGGTTTTAAATTTTTAAAAGATGAACATTTGAAGAAATTTGAATTACATAATATAACCTTCAAATACAGACAATTAACAGTTCCAAAAGTCTTTGTTTTTTTAATTTGTAACTAGTTTTTAAATTCATTTTTTTTTCATAATTGACACTTTTTATGAATTCTAATAAATATTTTTAAGTCAGAGGTTCTGACTGAAGAGTGAAGACCTCTGATAAGCTAACGAGTGACATAACTTAAAGGAAATACTTACTCTACTTTTGCATGATTTGGGCAAATGATATCTGGACATGAAATATTTCCAAATTCAAAGATAAACATCCAAATAAATGACAAAGTATAAATATCACCCATAATTAATAAACATACACGAATGGTTTAAACCTACGATTATACCATATGAATTCAGTAAGATATATTTTCTTCCTCGTTTATACTGACTTTTTGTTTTTCTAAATCTCGAGTGATATTTCCTGCTTTCTAAAAATAAAACACAGATTCATCATCTCGTTATCGTTGCAAGACGTGAAAAAACTGGCTTATATTGACAGGCTACACTCTAGAGCTTGTACATCCTTCCTTCTAATTTAAAATAATACATTAATTTCTTCAAGTAGTAGTCAAGAATAGAAACTGTAATTGATCATTGGACACAACATACTTGATTGGGGAAAAAAATCACAAATACAATATACATAAACACAATATCCATAAGTGTGATTGCACTGGTCGGTAAAATTGTTGGAAATTCCTAGCCAGTAATCCATTATTTTTATGATTTGAATAATTTACACTGTTTATGGCTCAAAACACATGAAATTTATTTGAATATTGTTAATATTCTTGAAGGTCTTGTCTCAGTGTGTGTACACAAGAACCGTACGTCCTGTAAAATTATAGTATGCATAGTATTGTATTAGACAAACCTTACTGTTTGTACCGGCCCTAAGTGAGACTTGTGAGGCTCGAAAAAACGTTTATTAAGGATGAACACACGGTAAGGCTAGCATTTAAGTTCCATGACTTATAAGGCAAACCTCACCGACCCTTTTATGCCCCCCAGTCAAGGTGCCTTGGATGAGCAAGAATTCCCTGCATGATGATATGGCTTCGGGGCCACCAGCCTATAAAAATCTCAGCTCAAATATAAGCCTCAAATCTCAGAATTCTGCCTCACCTGAGATTTTCCTAAAATACTGTGCAACCAACATTTCTTAGATTCGACTCACGTATGCTGAGATTTGAGAAAAATCTTAGATATATTTCCGTTGTCATATGCAGCCTTTTTTCGACAAATGCAAGGATTTATTCAATCAATGATTGAATTTACCTTTTACACAGTTATTTATCCATTATTTAGGTGTAGGTCGCGGAAACAACACATCCCCCACTTCCTTCGTTTGTTATTGCTGTTTTGCGTGATTCAACAGAGAGGATTCCAAATACAACATTTGCGACAATAAATGTTCATTTAACCCTCGAAAATATATTTCTACTGATGTAAAACATAAAAAACATATCAAAACTTTGTAGTCTTGGCTCGTCTGTCGATATAAACACATAAAAACATACCCGAGTCGTCACTTCCGCCATTGTGACATAATGTGAAGCAGGTAGGCGGATCAAGGCTATATTTTCCTGACCGATTGAAAATAAATATTTTTCTTGCTTTATATTTTGTTTGTTTTGTTTTGGGTTTTTTTTTTTTTTTGGGGGGGGGGGGTTTAGATATTACTTCTCCATAGCAAAAAACAAGTGTTTGAGTTATAAGTACTTTATGTATCTAGAATAAAAGTAAGTGATTTTTTTCTATCAGATCGAAAATAAATAAACGAATTATTTTTATAAATAAATAATTAATATTTTAAAAAAAAATCGATATATACCATGGCTGAATTTCTCACATGTTGTAATATGTTTTGGGAGTGTTCCATAATTGTGGATAAATGCTATAAGATGAACAGCGAACATATCCAGGGGCGGGTAAGAAACACATGCTTGGTTTTCAAGGATTTCGAGAAATTGTAGAGGAATATTCAGTTCGTAACCCCCTCATGTTGAAGGAAGAAAATCAGCTAAAAATTCGAAACAAGCGCATACATATGGAAGAGGCAATAACACATCGCATTATTTTTCTATGATCTCCGATGACGAAATATCGATCTCGTAAACTAAAAGTCTTTTATTTTTTTGTTTTTTTTTTCATTTTAGATATTTAAAAAGATCAACTATGCATGTTGCACGACTTGACCAAAAATCATAGTTTCATTGGAAACCCAATACAAAGCGATCTCGCATAATCGAGTAGCCCTTATGAACATACGAAACTGATTAATCTCTTAAAAAATTTCACTGTTTAATGATGTAACACTTCTAAACCACACGCAGGATAATTTTTTTTTTTATATTTATAACATATTTCCATTCGTGCATCTTGTTGTGATTAATACATGTACATGTATCTCAGAATGGTCATTATTAATAAAGTTTATTCTTATAAATGAAATACATGTAAACGATCATATTGCTGTTATAAAGTCGATCCAAATTTTATAGATTTATTTAGAAACCAAATAAGAGCTCTCATCCATGATTGTGTTTTACATATTATTTCGAAGAAACAGAAATATTTGTATTTGGAAATTTAAACAGATTTCTTTTTATATTCTCTTATAATTTATATTTAGGCTAATAAATAGTAAATATAACTACCAGACAAAAAACAGAAGACAGAGTCAAGTAGGTTTGATATTCTATCTAGTCATCTATCCAGGCTTTCCTGTACAGGAACATTGTGAATTACATGTGCATTTTGCCATGCCACAAACAGCACAAATTGAATATGAATTTAATTAATCAATTTAATTATTTCTTATCAATATGTACTAGTATTCCCTTTTTTCCTTTCTTTTTTCCCGTTTAAAATAGAGCTTTAATGGCTTGATTTCACGTGTGGACAATATTAACATGTGCGTAATTAAGATCCCCTCCCCCACCTCCTCACAGGATGGAAATTAACTTTCTTTCTGTGCTTGCACGTTAATTTTGTGTGTTTATGACTTAAAGTCTGCACTGTCCTTACATTTGCAATCATTTTACCATAAAAAAATTCTTTGAGATTTTATTTGAAATTGGTATTCATCAATCTCAAATTTTCTGAGAAATCTCAGATTTTTTTCTCACCTGAGTCGGAAAAAACGGTGGTGGCACGCATCTTTGAGAAAAATCTCAGATTTGAGAAAAAATCTCAGATTTTAGAAAAAAAACTCAGAAGGTAGGTCTGAGTTTGAGAAATATATGTTTGGTGGCACAGTTCTGTGAGAAAAACTCAGAATTTCTGAGAAATCTTAGATTTGAGAAAATCTCAGGGTTGGTGGCCCCGGAGCATGGTCACACCCACTATGTGTGACATGCCTTGATCAAGTATACCGAACATACGGCAGTCAAATGTCGTACAAAAAAAAAAGAAATAACAATGCGTATGAAATAAGCAAGATATAAATATATAAATTGTTATAGTTGCTAAACAAGGTCATAGTTACGAACAGAGAATTTATGAAATGCTGACTTGAAACAAGGTTGTTGAAATTCCTGTAACTTATCTCCCAGGAGTCAGTCCCGGGTTTTAAAATTAATGTTGGTTGCTGTGCTTCTGTTTTGTATTGTTTTATGGAATTCTGATCTTGAATATGTTCGTTATCTCCATATGTTTCATAACACACAAATCATGCTCTTGAGAAGAGAAGAACGTTAGACATAAACACCGTCTACAGTTGATAATGGAATACTATAACATAAATGTTATTAACGATAGAAAAAGTGCAATGTTATCGTTTGTCGTACAATGTAGTCGTTAGTTTGTATTTAATGTCTTTAGATACCGGTGGTAAATTTTCCATATACTTATAGGAGATTTAAGAGACTTTGAGGTGTCTTTTTCTTCCAAGTTTACTATATATGTGGAAGCAGTTATTTTTAATTGATAAAAAGTCTTTGATTTGTCTGAATGTCGTGTAGAAGAAGTAGAAAAATTTTGAATAAATTCTTATGAATGGGAATATAAAAACATGTCGGCTAATGCAGGGAGGCAGTTATTGCCAATCAGGATTTAAGATGTTTTCGAGGTCCTTGTTTGTCAAGTTCCTACTCCCTATTATTCCACAAGACTTTTGGGACTAGATAAAATTCAATTCTTTACCTTCACACCAGCCATGGGCAAGATTACTGAAAAATATAATCGATTAATAATCGATTACTTAGAGGAATTTTGTGTTATCAATTATAAATCGATTACAGTCAGTTTTGTCCTGTAACCGATTGTAATCAATTACTTTAGACAATGTAATCGATTAATAATCGATTACATTCAATCTTCTTCCACTCTTAAATATCAAAGCTGAAAAAAATATTTCAATATTTTTTTTGTAGTATTGTTGAAGATATGTCCTCTGTAGTTTTAATGTATTCACACAGTTTGTATTTGAACCTCCTTATTTAATAGCTTTTGATTGTTGCAGAAATTATTTAATAGTTTACTGTGATTTACAAGTATTTGGACATTCCGCATGCTGGCAGTACGCATATACACGATCCCTTTGTTTTAATCATCTCGAAAAAAAAATGCATAAATTAGAGCTCGTGGTAATGAACATGTAAACTCAATGTACCTTCAAGTATTACTAATAGTACAATTTCTTCTGTGTTGAAATATTTGTTTTGAGAGCTGTCATTTGTTTTACAAGATTGTTTGTCAACAGTGGAGTAATCAATTATAAAATTTAACTTTTTTCTTTCAAAGAATTTGATGAACTATTTCAGGCTAATTAAAAAAAAAACATAATTTTTTAAACAGATTGGAACACCAGTTACAAAAAACCTTTTTTATTCATCAAATTAATGTTCATTTAAACTTTTACCTATAAAATTTACGTATAAATAATATGGTATCTTTATGTATATATATTTGTATCGTCACCTATGTTAATATAAAACTATACGCAGAGTTCATTCATTCGGACATATTTATACACTTCGTTTCATTCTGTTTATAATGGTAATAAATAAACATTTGACATCTCTCTCTCTCTCTCTCTCTCTCTCTCTCTCTCTCTCTCTCTCTCTTTCCATGTGTTTTTGTCAGGATTTGATGTGTTCTTTTACAGGAGCATGTATTGTAGTGATAATGCAGTGCAACTACATGTATACGTGCTCAATTATAAGTTATGTCCAGAAACGTAAGGGAAAAGGGTTATTAAACATTTACTAAAAGTTTGGTTTTCAATTTAGCTTTGATTCTATTTTACAGAGCAAAAAATTAA